AGGCGGGGGGTAGTGGTGGGAGAGGTAGGGTGTGGGTGTTAAGAGGTGGGTCCTTAAGAGGGGGTAGGGGTTCTGCCTGGAGGCTCAGTGGTTCAGGAACCGCTCCCCGAGTGGCCGCCTGCCCGTGCCCCTGAGTTTATCAGACGCCTCTGGGACCCAGGGTGGGATACTGTCCCCTGTCCTTGGGTGAGACCACTGGAGCTAGAGGCACTGACCTTCGTCCCAAGAGCACCTGCTGGGCTTTTTCAGGGGGGTCTCTGTTTATTTCCTGTCAGGGGTTCTCAATGGGAATTTATTTCTAGTGCAAATGCAACATTGCAGCTCAGTCACTCTGGGAGATCAGACGCCTCTGGGACCCAGGGTGGGATACTGTCCCCTGTCCTTGGGTGAGACCACTGGAGCTAGAGGCACTGACCTTCGTCCCAAGAGCACCTGCTGGGCTTTTTCAGGGGGGTCTCTGTTTATTTCCTGTCAGGGGTTCTCAATGGGAATTTATTTCTAGTGCAAATGCAACATTGCAGCTCAGTCACTCTGGGAGTTGTGCGCTTTGCCGGGACAAATATGCTTGGATCATGGCACAACTCGACTTGCCTTCACCAGGCCCTTAGATGACTACAGATATTTATAACTCAGTAGCAAAGATATCTGATCCCCTGCTACCAAAAATCCTGCCTGGGGAACCATGCTTCCCCCGTGTATGTTCACCCTGGAATTGTTATAGGAGACTTGTCAATAAATAGGTTGTAGTTTGAAACTGGCTAATGGGCAGACAGGAGGTTTTCAAAGGACCTTCCATAACATTAAAACCTATCGTTTCCAACCCACAACCTTCAAGGTTTGGAATACAAGTCTGCTTCCTTGCCAAAAGATGCCATTTCCCTTGTTCACATGCTGTGTTGTGTTGTAGAGTTATTGGTGAGCTGTGTGTGTGATTGCGGGGAGCCAGTTTGACCCTTGCAGTGAGAGAGTTTAGAAATTCACTCTGTGCTCTACACCCAACGGTGGCTCTGGGTCGGTTGCTAGCCTGGGCGGGGCATCAGACTAGTTTAAGAGGATGGGATGAGTGGAGGTGTAGCGTGACACCTTACTCATCTTCTCCGAGGGCAGTACCGAATGCGTCTTTGCTTGTGACGGTAGTTTGTATGCAGAGAGCTACAGACTCAGACGGCAGCTACTCTTTACTTGGCTCCTCCACAGGATGGCATGATGCCAACCTCCACGGATCTACAAGTCAGCCCTCAGTCCCAAGGATTATACAGCCTAGTGAAAAGGGAAAAACAGGGAGCAAGCAGAAAATAGGGAACAAGAAAAAGGAAGGAAAAAAAGGGGAAACAAGGCAAGGAGGATGGGGAAAAAAGATGAAGAGCCAGAATGAGTGAATGGGCACGGGAAAATGGAGAGGTTGTAGTTGTGCCAGGAGGCAATATGGGTAACGTGGTGTGAGGGGGCACCCAATCCATCAAAGGGGGATGTGGACCTTTACCAGAGAAAGATTTGGGGAGCTACTGCTTCTGTATCCTTATCTTGGGGTGTGTGAGAGTGTTCCATTGGACAATTCTATATTTGGAGTTCCTTGCATGACAGATGATGCAGTTCTCTTTGCTATTTCTTCTTTAAGTTGTTGGGTTGAAAATGGTAGTCTCTTTCTGTGGCAAACTGATTGGTGAAACCAAGGTATGAAATATCTTCTGTTTTCCCCATCCTTCAGCCCATACTGCGCCTGCAGTCACAAAAATGCTTTGTGCTTGGCTGAAGGGAGGTGATGTTTACACACACGATGGTTTGTTTTCCCTAAACCTCCATGCCAAGCATTTTTTTGTCCTGTCCATGGAGTGACTTTGGTGTTTATTCAGGCAGAGCTCTCCTGACTCTGGTGTCAGTGACATGAAATACATCCAGCCTGCTGTGTCAGCTGCATGAGACAACTAGCTGGAGGGGCATGTAATTAAATGAGATCTGTTCAAAAGCAAGAATTTCAAGAAGCTGGATTCACTGGTCATTCCCCTTCTACCACAAAGGTATGAAGTCTGGGGCACTTTGCAGCTGAAAAATGAACACATGGCTGGCTAACTGTGTGCTTTTAGTGGTGAAGGACTCAAACAACAAGAAAGGTCATTAGTGCTCGCAAAAGATGCTCCTTTGTCAACCCTGGCGAAAGAAATGTGGTGGCCTCTTTGACATTGAAATGTGGGGTTTATCAGCATGCATTTGAAATGTCTGCATTACTCTTAACGGTCAAAGCCATGCATGAATAACACGGGTTATCTTAAGTCGTTGCCATGTGAGGAGAATAGACTTTTTGGGGAGAATTGGGCAGCCTTTAGGTAGATCAGGCAGTATCCACCATCCTAGGACCTCAAAGGTTGTTCTGGAACCAACCTTGCTTTGGGAAATATGCAAGTCAACTATCCTTCGAAAGGTTAGTGTTTTTGTTCAGACATTAGTTACGGGAGGACTATAGAGCAGTTGCGAGGACCACCATTAGCTAGGCCACAGACTTGCCTCTTGTATTTACTCAGGGACCCCTCAGGTCTGGTACCTTAATGTTTGTAGAAGATAAAAAAATCCAAACCACACAGATTTTCCATTTATATCTATTTTATTAAATAAGATCTAGGGTTCTTTTGGTTTTTTGTTTGGGCCCCTCAGTGTGTTACTGCCTAACTGATTAGGAGCCTGCCTCTCACTTTCAAAAGGGGCCTGAGCACATAGGTGACTTATTGCCTAAAGCTGCTTTTGAAAATGAGACGTAAGCTCCTAGATCAGTTAGGTGTTGAAACGTGAATGGAGCAAGAACTAAATATCTTTAAAAAGTCTAGGCCCAACTACCTGAGCAAAAACATAAAACGTGATCCATATTAGCAAATTCAATTAGAACAAAGTGGGTTTATCTAAAATCAGTCAGGATAATTAAATCAAGTCCTTATCGGATTGAATAAACTGTTTCTAACAAATCACCATGTTTTGATAAGCTCTTAGTAACGATTTGATAGGGTAGCAGTCTTGTTTAGCTATCAGATCCAAAGTAACAGAGCTATTCTCAATCTGGGTGCCAAGAGATATATTTATGTTGCAGCCAAACAGTGGATACAGGGAGGGACATATCGTTCCTGTGCTGAAGCTAATTTTGAGATTGGCAGCCCTGGTGTCAATTAAGACAGTGTGTTCAGGTTAGTTGGAGCGAGGTGTTAAAAATCTCTTCTTCCCCCAGCCCACAAGAGAGGGTTACATGAAACGTTCTAATACAATTCAAGCTGACCACAGCTTGTTACATCTTAATGTTCAAATGACAAATTAGGTGAAAACAACATAATTTCTGAGGATTTATAGGATTAAACGTGACATTTCTCATGAAATATGTGCATGAGATTTAGACAATGAGATTGTTAGCTGAGGGCTGTTTAGGTATTCGAGGAGCTGTTCTGTAGGCCCCATTCTCAATTTCTTTAGACTCGGTCTCCCAATTCCACTGTGCATGCGCGCACATGCAAGACCAGCCATCTGCTGAGGGTAACAAACAAGTGTCCTAAATGACACTTAAAAGGATGTTTGTTTAA